CTATTTTATCCCGAAACTTGCCTTCAATTACAGTAGCGGTCAAAAGTGTTCGCCGAAACGATTTTTCGTGCATTATTTTTCTCACTTGAGCAACGCCCTCCAAAGATTGATATACTATGTTTTCTAGTGTTTTTATCCTTGACCTTAAAGAATCAGGATTCAAAAAAATTCGAGATCACCATTGATTTTTTCTGGCAAAAAAAAAGAAGAGCACGAAAAACAGCTTTCGCGATCACTTGACCGCTACTCATGTACCCTCCCCTTCAAAAAGCGAGAAAGTGTCGGGTGCAGACCATACACCACAAGTGACGACGGCCTCCACAAAATGCAAATGTTTTCTGCCAATGAAATGATTAGCCTGTTGCAGTTGTATTCTATCAGTTGTCACTAATTACAACTATCATTTACCAAAAATCAGCTATCACTATGAACACTACTAACCAGATTTACTTGGAGGCCGTCGTCACTTGTGGTGTATGGTCTGCACCCGACACTTTCTCGTTTTTGAAGGGGAGGGTACTACGCGTATCACAGAACTTTCTACTCGGAGTGACCCATTTATCGTTTTTAAGTATCTTCTTGTCTTTGTGAATTTAATGTAAGTCATATAAGTATTGTATCAGCACCTTGCCGTATACAAAAAGGAGACCTTCTGCTTCCTCTAAATTAAAACAGTTGCAATCACACTTTGCTAGAGCCTAACCCGATGCTTCGATCGATAGTCAAAGAGCATATTTGAATCTATTCAGCAATTTCATAATGACCTTCTCCTTAAATATTAAATCAATCAGCCTTCGGAATTTTGTACAAGGTTTGAACTCAAAGCCTCCGAGCCCAATAGCGTTCATATTTCAAAAGCATTGAGGGTAATGGATAAAAGCTTGCTTTTGTCTATGGTGGAACAAGTCTGTTTTTCATATTTAATATGCTTCAGATCGATCCTAAAGCTCTGCTATACGCAGGATACAAACATGCGACAACTATGATTTACAGAATTTCTTTGTGAAAACGACAGCCCGTCTCAAGTGTCAGCGTTGTAGTAGTAGTGAGCGTAGGTCCTAATTCAAGCTCAATAGTCAAGGTAAAGCTCGTCGTCGGCGAATTCCTTGCAGGGATCGTCCTTCTTCAGATGAAATCGTGCAGACTGACCATTCATTTCCTTGTTACGGCCTGCAAATTCATAGCACATTTGAAGCGCCATTTATACTAAATCAAAATCTCAGAATTTTTGCTGATAAAACGTAAGAAGTAATTTAGAAGCAATTTTTACTAAAAATCTTAAAGTACAAGTTCAAAAAAATAGATGCTTGTGCCTGCCAGCTCAAAGCTAAAGCGCCTCCTATTAGGGCAGTGAAGGACCTAATTGTTCAAAATATGCGGTGCCGCTGCGACACAATGCTCCATTAATCGAATTGCAGTGCTTGGCC